CGGTTTCTAGCGTTGTGAGTCCGCAGACATACCGCTGTGCCACTAGGAGGCAATAGAGTTCTCTATCTATAAACATGGAAGTGAAAGAGTTAAATTGTCTTTGGAATAACCCAAGAATTTTACACACAGAAAATGTGCACAACTTTTGACCTGGAAAAAAAAAATGTTAGGAATGTCATTACTAAATTCCTGCAGAATATAACTTTTGTAAAGTGTTGTTAATTTTCTAGAATACTAATATCGAGCGTTACAGTAAATAAATAAATAAAAAAGAGAAGCATACCAACTGCACATCCTGGGTATACTAAAACTGTTTTAAGTCTCTGCATAAAACACACAATGATTGTATAATGTAGAAGGGAGGGTAGGATGTATGTCATAATGTACACATTACCTGAAGATTATAGTTATAACCGTAAAAGAAAACGTCGTAAACAATGTAATTTTGGTGGATTAACTATAATGTATTTAAGCACGTGAACAAACATAACGAAACTATTATCAGTTTACCGGTTTTAACAACAGCTGAGAGCTACTTACAAATCGAACGCTATTCTGTGATATCTTCTGTATCATTAAGAGACAACCTTTTGCGAAATTAACGCACGTCTCTATGTTGTCATGCACATCACTTACATCTTGGTCTAATCTTTAAGATACACCCCCCAGTGGTACAGCGGTATGTCTGCCGACTTATACCGCTCGAAACCTGGTTTCGATACCCGTGGTGGGCAGAGCACAGATAGCCCTTTGTGTAGCTCTGTGCTTAATGACAAACAACGACTTTAAGACACACACATACACAGCAATGGAAACACACAAGCGATAGAGATACAGGATACAAAAGAGGAAATAATGACAACTGGATGATGGATATATTAATGGTACCAAACATTATCACAGAAAATATAAAAATTAACAAGTTGTACGGAATAATGCACAAATATTTTTACGTAAGCCTCTCCTTTACGTAGAGAAATGTTTCCACGTGCCATATAATTGATCAATGTACGATATTGTGGAATATTGTACTAAACGTTCAGTATCCCTTTCCACAATTCAGTCAATGCGTTTGGTCACCTTTTGACCTTCTCATGTTTTAACTAAGCACATACAGCCTCAACAATATTCGTGCACGGAGCAGGCCAAGCGATGGTTACGAGTTTTCCACTGACCTCTTTACCGTTTCATCGTATTTGCTATATGCATGGGATCACTAATTTTGGTGCAAGATGAATTCCAAGCCCAATGAATAGTGTTCCTGAAGGAATGGTATAATCTGTCCGTACAACTGTCAGCAGTCAAAGGACCATCAATTTTGTGGAAGATCACCGACACGCTGGTTGAGATACTGAACCAAAAGTTTATTGTTTCCCCCACCATGCTTCACTGTAAGGGGCTGTACATCTACTACGATACTGTTCTATTCTCCGTCGTCGAACAAACTGTCGTTGATTGTTGCCGGACAACACGAACTTAGGTTCATCTGTAAAGGGCTGTACATCTACTACGATACTGTTCTATTCTCCGTCGTCGAACAAACTGTCGTTGATTGTTGCCGGACAACACGAACTTAGGTTCATCTGTAAAGGGCTGTACATCTACTACGATACTGTTCTATTCTCCGTCGTCGAACAAACTGTCGTTGATTGTTGCCGAATAACACCAACTTAGGTTCATCAGTAAACAGCATAGATCTTTCACTTTGTTCATTCTGTTTTTCGTCCGACGTCAATTTCAAACTTTTTATTTGTTTACGTCTTAACTGTGGCAGTTTCCGAGACCGAGATTACTTCGTGCTAATATGTATCTTATTGTTCTAGAGACAATATTCGCACCAGTATTAACATCAAGGTCATTGGGCAAGATCTGTACTCGAACGTTGTTTACCTCGTAAAGAACATACTCTGAGATAATTAACATCATTTTTTGAGTGTTTTGTACCTCTATTATTAACTTCTATTATTAACAATGCCAGATTCAGAGATTTGTATAAAGCTCCTAATGAAATATGGAATTTTACCGCAATTTTTTTGAGTGAATTGTCCTTGTCAAGTCAAAACTTTGATTTCTGCAAGCTTGTAATGAGGTAC